TGTGTTCATTGCCATTGTATCCTATTTTGTTGTTTATTTTGATGTTGGTGGTCCATTTTTTCACTGTTGGTGTGGTGTTTATTGTTTTCGGATTGCCATTGTGCTGTTGTTCTGTGTCTCGCCGTTGTTGTTGTTGCTAAGATATAGGATGTTGTATTTGTTATTGTTTGTTGAAATGATCTTTTGTTATTTGTCGATGTTGTTGTTGTTGGGGATTTTGTTTTTGTTGTTATTGCCATGGTTAATTATTATTATTATATTATATTTATTGTTGTTGTGTTATTCATAATTATCGACACCGTTTTTATCATGGTTGTTATAAGTGATGTTATTGTTATTGGTCACATTGTATTAATAATGTTTTTTTTTTGTTGTCACGATTACTGTTATTGATCATGTTATTGTCACTGTTGTTATTGGTGAAGTTGTTTTTTGTTGCCATTAATGATTTTTTGTTTGTTTTTTGTTGTTGTTTTTAGTTATTATAATTGCCAGTCGCCCTTAAACGAAGGCCATTGAAATTGGGTCGGTTATCTACGTAACGGTAATGAGTTAGTAAATAAATGAATAGATAAAGAGAGAAAGAAATAGAGAAAGAGAGAAAGAAAATAAAAAATAGAGAAAGAGAGAAAGAAAATAAAGAAATAGAGAAAGAAGAGAAAGAAAAAAAAGAAATAGAGAAGGGAAAGAGAGAAAGAAATAAAGAAAAAGAAGAAAGAAATAAAGAAGTAGAGAAGGAAATAAAAAGAAATAGAGAAAGAAATAAAGAAATAGAGAGGAAGTAGGTGAGTAAAGTAAATGAAGGAGGAATTGATCCGCAACTGAAGAATGAAATAGATAGAGAAGAAACCAGGAGATAAATAAAGAAATTGAAAGATAAACAAAGAAATGTATTCTTGCACAGGTTAACAAAGGAATTGAGATACGAATAAGAAATGGATAGATAGATGAATTACTTAATGGATACAGACAATAAAGAAAGAAAGAAAAAAAGACAAATACAAAAATTATTAGAAGTGAAACAAAATAAAAAAGTAAAAAGAATAAAGGTGTGAAAAAAATAAGAGTAAAAAGAATAAAGGTGTGAAGAAAATAAAGAAGGAAAGGAATAAAGGTGTGAAAGAAAATAAAGAAGGAAAAAAGAGATAAAATAAAGAAGTAAAAGAGATAAAGAAGTAAAACATAAAGAAGAAAAAAATAAGAAATAAAAAAAAAATGACAAGACGTAAAAAAAAAATGATTTGCATTCGTGTCTTGCCAGTATTAAGGTGTGTCTGTCTGTCTGTCGTGACTTCCGCTGGCTTGTTGGTAATCTGTCGGGCGAAGAGGGTGTCCTGTGCGTGTTGGTGGTTGCCTTGGGACGCACGCACGCACGCACGGACGGACGGACGAATCAAGACGACGCACGCTGACTGGAGTACGTGTACTTTATACTACAAGCATGTCGTGTGAACTGTGTGTGTTTTGGTGTTTGTGGGGGGGGGGTGGGGGGGGGGTGAAGGGGTGGTGTGTGTGTGGGGGGTGTGGGGGGGGAGGTGTTGGTGTGTGTGTGGGAGGGTGTTGTGTGTTGTGTGTGTGTGTGTGTGTGTGTGTGTGTGTGCATGTATGTATGTGAATGTATATACGCACATAGTTTATGTAAGTTTATAACCGCGTGTGTACATTATCACCACCATAGCCATCATCGCCTCTGCATGTACGTGCTATTCTACATATTGTCTCACGTGCTTATAAACGTTCATGTGTGTGTGTGTGTGTGTGTGTGTGTATGTGTGTGTGTGTGTGTGTGTGTGTGTGTGTGTGTGTGTGTGTGAATGGGCTCGCTTATGTCTGTATCTATGTACGTAGAAGAGGAACACGAGCAAAAGTGACCCAAGTGACCCGAGATGACCTCAGATAAGTCCTTTAGTCTGCCAGATGCTCCGGTCGGGGTCACTGTACTGGTAGAGAGGAGGAGACACTTGTCTTACGCCGATGTCGGGAGTTTGCCGAATCGGGCTGGTCGGAGTTGTCGGAAGGGGGGGGTGGGGGGGTTGAATTTACCTTTTTTTTTTTTTTTTTTTTTTTTTTTTTTTTTTCTTTCTTTCTTTTTTCTTTTTTTTTTTTTCTTTTTCTTTTTTCTTTTTTTCTTTTTCTTTTTTTTTCTTCTTCATTCTTCTTCTTTGTCTTCTTCTCTCTTTCTTTTTATCTTTTGGTAGGGACAATTCTATGGGAGGATAAATTGTCGTTTTATTGACAGATATAAGTATTTAATAAAGACAAGTCCAAAACACGAAAGAAAAAAGAAAAAAAAAAAAAAAATATAAAAAAAAAGTGAAACGTTTCTTAACGGAAAGTCTAAAAACCGAAGAAAAAAAAACAAAGAAAGCCAAAGAATAGAAAACGTTTAATACACACAACTCTTAAAAAAAACGAAAATAAGCCACAAAGAACAAAACCAAAAAGCGATAACAAACCACAAATCAACAAAAAAGCGAAAATAAGCCCAAAAAAAAACGAAAATAAAACACAAATTAAGGGGAACAAAACGAAAATAAGCCGCAAAAAAGGGAAATAAACCACAAAAAAAAAAAACATACCCATTCAAAAAATAACAAAAAATTAACAAAAAATAATAATAATTCAAAGCTAAAACCACATATCAAGAAACCCCACAAGAACAAGACAAGGACGAGGATGCGAAGGACGAGGCATCCTGTCCTGGCGGCGGACGTGGAAGGATCCGCGGCGAGGGAAAAGGAGAAAGCGAAGTTTAAAAAGGCGTAGGCGATGTTCAAGTGATGGATGGGCGGCCGAGAGAGGACAAGGACGCCCGTGTCTCTGGTCTCTGGGACTTCCGCTCTCTCTCTTTCTCTTTCTTTTTTTTTTTTTTCTTTCTTTTCTGTTTGCTTTTCTGTTTCTCTCTCTCTCTCTCTCTCTCTCTCTCTCTCACTCTTTTCTCTCTCTCTCTCTCTCTCTCTCTCTCTCTCTCTCTCTCTCTCTCTCTCTCTCTCTCTCTCTCTCTCTCTCCTCTCTCTCTCTCTCTCTCTCTCTCTCTCTCTCTCTCTCTCTCTCTCTCTCTCTCTCTCTCTTCTCTCTTTCTCCTCTCTCTCTCCTCTCTCTCTCTCTCTCTCTCTCTCTCTCTCTCTTCTCTCTCTCTCTCTCTCTCCTCTCTTCTCTCTCTCTCTCTCTCTCTCTCTCTCTCTTCTCTCTCTCTCTCTCTCTCTCTCTCTCTCTCTCTCTCTCTCTCTGTCTCTCTCTCTCTCTCTCTCTCTCTCTCTCTCTCTCTCTCTCTCTCTCTCTCTCTCTCTCTCTCTCTCTCTCTCTCTCTCTCTCTCTCTCTCTATCATTCTCTATATATTCTATCTATCTTTCTCTCTTCTCTCTCAAAAAACACATTTACCACAAGCGAGTTGGCACACAACCACATACACATGTACACACACACGAACACAATCAATGGCCAAGACTGTTTTTTTTGTTATTTACATTTAAATTAAGGCAGGAGGATAAATAATGGATAAAAAATAAAAAAAAAAAACAGAACGAAAGGGTATTAAGTTGCATTTTGTCTCGTGGTTTAGGAATCGGATTCTAAGGTTAGCATTCGAATCCTTTTAAGTTGAAAATTGTTCGATGTTGAATTCGTGTTATTATTATTTTTCGTCTATACCGATTGTAGCTATTATTTTTATGGCGGTTTCCAGTGTGTCATTTTTTTGTTTTTTTCGCATTTGTTTTTTATCTTTTACTCAGTGTGTGAACTTTATTTTTTGCGATCAGAGACTTGGTCTGGCGAATTAAATGTTCGTTGCAAAAAAAAAGTAATATTGATTTTTTTTCCCACATAGAATGTAGCTATTATTTTTTTCACAACGATTTTTGTTTTTGTTTAATTTTTTGTCACATTATTCGTTATATTTTATATTTTGTATATTTTTTTTATTTCTCTATTTTTGTTGTTTTATTTTCCCATTTTTGTTTATTTACTTTTCACTTCCGTTCGCTCATTTTCATCCATTCTTGTCTTCCTCCCTTTCCTCACCGTGTGTCCCTCTCCCTCCCTTGCAGCCAGCGGTGCGGTCTCACGGACGAGGACCTCAACCGGCGCTGGAGGGCCCCCAACCCCAGCCTCCACCCGACCATCTACGGCGCCAAGGTAAGGGTGTTAGGGAGGTGAGGGAGGTGGTCCTTGCGTGGAGGACGAGCGAAGGTGGGGTGTGGGGTGGGGGTGGTGGGGGTGGTTGGGGTGTTTGTGGTGTGGGGTGTGTTGTGATGGTTGTGGGGTGATGAGTGGAGTTGTGAGAAATTGTGGTGGTGGTTGTGAGAAATTGTGGTGGTGGTTGTGAGAAATTGTGATTGTGGTTGTGATCAGTCGTTGTGGTAGTGGTTTGTGAGATGTGGTTGGCTAAGTCGTGGTACTGATTGTGATGATAACTTTATTAATTAAGGAAGAGGAGGGGATAATGATGATGATTGTAGTATCAATAATGATAGAATTGATAGTGACAACAAGAGCAGCGATAATTAAGATAATAATGGTAGTAAGAATAAATATAGTAATATTATGCCTTGATATCAAATAATATTATTAACAAAAAGGAGGAATGTGTTGGGTAATGGTAATAACAGAAGCAATAGCAGTAATGATATTGATATAATAACAGTGACAGCAATAACTACAACTATAGTAATAACACAAGTTGTGGAACTGTAGGTTTTTGCGTTCAGGAATGACGAAGTTATTTTTTTTTCTTTCGCTCTCTTACCTTCATTTTTTTGTTTTTACTCAGTTATTAATATATAAAAAAAACGATAGATAAAAAATATGTATAAGGAAAAATTATAACCTTTTGGTAATTTCCGGGAATATGTTATAGGGCAGAAGTTGATTTTGTATAGAAGTTTAGATGAAATACGGGAGTTTGGAGTGAAAATTGAATGGTATACTTTGCTGAGGTCACGTGATCAAAATGGTTGACGGTTGGTATTTTATTCCTCGCGGTTATAACAAGGCCAGA